TGAATTGAGAAGATTTCTCAGCCAGTAACATGCTTGCTGGACAAATATAAAGACCTGAGTTTGCGTTCCTGGCACCCACATAAAAAGATGAACACATGTCTGCCTCTCACTGCTGGGGAGGCAGAAAACAGAGAAGGGGTGTTCCTGGGGCTTGTTGGCCAACCAGTCACCTAATCGGTGAGCTCCAGATCCTGTGAATGACCATGGAAGGCTGGTAAGAAGGCTCAGTGAGCGGGAGTGCTGCTGTGCAAGCATGTGCACCTGAGTTAGGACTCTCAGCAGCCACGTAAAAAGCTGGGCGTGGCTGTGGGTGCCTGTCACCTCCGTACTGTGGAGGGCAGAAACAGAAGGGTTCCTGGGGCTCGCTAGCCATCAGACTAGCTCCAGTTCAGCGGGAGACCTGTCTTAACAGAATAAGGTGGAGAGTGATAGAGTAGGACATCCGAAGTCCTCCTCTGGCCCACATGTACCCTTGTATGGATGTGTACACTCCCACCACATGTGTACACACTCCCCCCAACACCACGCAGGCACACACACACACACACACACACACACACACACACACACACACTCACACACACTGAAATAATACAATTAAACTAAGAAAAAAAAGTTGGGCCTTTGAGATGGCTCAGTGGGCTTTGAGATGACTCAGTGGGCTTTGAGATGGCTCAGTGGGTAAAGGAACTTGCCACCTAGGCCAACAACCTGAGTTTGATACCTGGAGACCATGTGGTAGAAGGAGAGATCTGACCCCCCACAAGTAGTCCTCTGATCTACACACACACACACACACACACACACACACACACACACACACACGCAAAAAACCAGTGCCGATCTTTATGCGTAAGCAAATCCCTAAAACTGGTTTAAAATACACAGTCCTGGGCCCAGGATATTTTGATTCAGTGAGTCTGGAATGAAGCCTTGAGTCCTACACCTTCATCAGTCTCCCTCATGGTTTAGTATGCTTGCAGTCTATGTGCCCACTGGCCTTGAGTATTTCTTCTTACATTTATACATGTTATGTCTCAGAGCTAAAGTATACATAATTTGAATATCTTGTCCAAAACGTAGATCTCTACCTTGGTCAAAGGATTAGCAATCTTCAAAAAGAAATCAACTCAGCATTTCTTTATTTCTTCATATTCAGAGATGGGAGTCTGGTAGTAATGCAGTCACCCACATAGGCCCTAAGAGCACTAAGGTCTCGCTCCCAAGGAATGCCATTCCTGGCATGTTTGGAAGTGAGTGTGTGCATCCAAGCAATCTACCAGCCACCAAGAAGAGTCCTTAGATACTCTGTGGGTGAAGTTCCCCAGTGTGACCGTTGTCAGAGAGGAAGAAGCCTTTGAAGACGCCCTTCAGCCATCCACCTTTCCAATAAATGCTCATGCTGTTGAGGTTATGCATATAGGTAGGACAAAAATAAGGAAGAAACAATTCTCCTTCTCAAGGCTTCTACAGCACTGGGTCATAACTTCAGGGGTTGATGTCTGTACTATCTTTGTTTCTGCCTCCTTTAGTACACACATTGTGCTAGTGTATACACCACCTTCAGCACATTGACTCAATTAATGCACATGCCAACGACCCAACAACCCTGTTCCACACAGCCTGGAAACAAGAAAGCAATACGCAATGTTACCAGTGGCTCAGCTCCAACAGCGCCTGCAGAAGTTTAGTTTAGGTTTAGAACACATAGTTGCCTTTCAAACATTTTCTTTATGTTGCTCTTAGAACTTGATGCTAGACTTGGTTCACAGTTTATTGAAAAAAAAAGATGGCATTTATTGTTGTATTGGGAAAAGAAAAATCCCTCTTTTTGTAGAGATATTAGCACTAGTATTAAACGTCTTTTATCCATTTACATGTATGAAATTGTCAAACTTAATAAAAAGTATTCTATTGAGTATCTAGTTATTAATATAAAATCAGACATGTTTTTGTTTATAATTATTTATGACACCGATCTAAATTCAAATATTTCATAACATTTTTGCAAAATGGACTGCTTTCCATTAAAATTCATGTAATGCTTCTCTTTATCCAATTTAAGTCAGTCATCAAAGGATGCTCATGCTAGCTACATTTTTTTTTCTGGAGCTAAACATAGTGAATCATATAGTCTGAGGGTGTTATCAGTCCCCTTTCATTTTAAACAAGAGAAAATGCGCCATGGAGTCACTGCCTCTCATTTTTTAAGGTCATTGATTGGGTTCAAAAGACAAATGCCTTTTTTCGTTGAACTTCCTTCAATTAAGCCATTAACCTTTTGCAATAAGTGTATTCAAAAATCTATCAAAGAAAGCTAAATGAGATTTTAACAAAATCCTGACAATTTCAGCTTAAACATATACACAGAAACCATATGTGCTTAGGAAGAAATATATACACACAGGCATTGTTTTCAGAGTGTGTTTTTCTATTTGGAAGACAGTGAAGGAAGAGTTATCCCATACATAATCTGAAACGTGCATTCAGAGAGTCACAGAGACTCCACAGTAAGAGACAAAGATATCTCTATCTACAGTGTGGAGACAGACAGACTGACTGACTTCAAACTTGGACTTGCAATGTGAATTTTTCCCCCCTCTTCTCTGGGTACTGCTTCTCAAAATTGCCTCAGGCTACAGAACAGCACCTCAGATCCCCAAGGCCCACTGCCTGGCTCCTAATAGCCACTCTCCATCTGTGTCACATGAGCAGCTGATGAGATCGCTCCAGTGTCTGTATTTTGGAGAGCGCTTCCACCCAGGTGAAAATGCTGGGGTTGCCAAGGAGCAGTCAGAAGCCATTAGTGTGGGTGAGAATTTGCCTTGCAGCAGTTCCTTGGCACGGTGGAGTGTGTGTGCACACGTCCCCATGCAGGCTTGTGTGTGTGCGTGTGTGTGTGTGTGTGTGTGTGTGTGTGTGTGTGTGTGTGTGTGTGTATGCATGTGAGTATACATGCAACCCCCAGATATATGTACATGTGTGTGCAGGGAAGGTCATCAGAAAAAAGACTAGATTCTATATATCGAGTATTCAAAAGCCAAAGGATTTTTCTTTGCTGCCCACATATTCCTTTTTTGGCTGTTGGGCTCTCTCTGTCTCTCTGTCTCTCCCCGTCTCTCTCTGTGTGTCCCCACCCCATCTCTCTGTCTCTGTTTCTGAGTGTGTGTGTGAGTATGTGTGTGTGTGTGTGCGCGCGCGCGCGCACATATGTGTGTGAGTGTACGTGTGTGAATGCGTGCACGCCTGTGTATGTGTCTTTCTCTGTCTTTCTTTTTTTATCATAACAGAAGGCAAAGAAAAAGAGAACAGCAACTTTGGGGTCATGCTCTAGTGTTTGGGCAGATGGAAGGGAGCTGCTTTGCCTTGGGGCAGGGTGGCTGTAACGAAGTGGCCTGTCAGTCTGTAAATAGTGAGGGTCATCCCTTCCATGTGATGGAGGGGATCGCATTGCAGTGAAAATGGAAATGTCAATAAAATTAATCTGCCAGCTCTTTGCTGTGGTTTTTCTGCTTCTCTGGTCAAAGAAGGTTGAGGTTTTTTTCGGCAAGAGAGCTAAAGGAACAGGTACCAGAAAGGCCACGGGGCAGACCCAGAAGTTCTAAAGCCAGTGCCCCAGTGGGCAGGAAGTCTGGGTGAAACACTATTTGGGAGGAGGGAATGGGGCTGGGGATTTGCTGGTGGATCTGCTGCATTCCTCGGGCGGCAACAGAGTGGCCAGCTCAGGCTACATTGAGCACAGAGTTTATTGTTTTAGGCTTTCTTGGACAAGGTTTTTACTTAGCGTGGGATTTATGGCATTTACTGCTAATGAATGTCTATTCTTAAATTACAAAAAAACCCATCTCAGCGCAATTCCCAGATGTCCTTCCAGGACCCCAGCTTCTTAAACACCAGCAGGGAGCATAAACTCTCCACTTCTCTGTTTTCCTCTTTCGTGTGGCTCCAGGCTAATGATGTGCAAGGAAAACACAGCCATCTATAAAGCCCCAGTGCTGTCCCCATATTCTTCATTTATTTTGCATTTGATTATGCCACAAGTCGGATCTTGTTTCTTTCCTTTTTTTAAAGTTATTAGTTCAAATATTAATGTAGGGATATGGCATATATTGCTACTCTTGATTGATGCCTTCCCAAAAACAGGAAGACGTGCTCGTATGAATTTTAAGAAAGTAGGGGTCCTGCAATGCCTTGCCAGAAGAGTTTTTCAGATACATAATTTAGATGCCCTCCAGGCAGGCTTTCAAGGCATTTTTGCCGGAGGGCAAGAAAAAATAACTCTGACTGTTAAAAGTAAATGATTTTTGCTAATGCACAATTAATGCCAGAGAAAAGCACAGAAGAGAAAGATGTTGATAGGAAGTTCTGATTAAGTGAGCACCCTACCTTGATGTGTGTCTTTTTGTCTGCCCCCTCACGATAATGATCAGCGGTGCAGAGAGCTAAAAAGTTTTCATGTCATGCAAATGTGGGGCTCTGGGTCCTAGGAGGAGTGTGCGAATGTGCGAGTTTAGGAGGTGACAGTTCCGGGAGGGGCTGAACAGGCAGTGCGTTATGTGCAATCAACAGTGACACAAGCTACTGTCACCTATGCAGGCAGCCTGGAATATATAGACTACAGAACATTGAACTTGATTACCCAGCAGTCTGTGCTCACTATGGGCACGGGGATGTATCTCTACCAAATGGGCTTTCTCGTAGCGGTTTGCCCACACTGGGTTCCATAATTGACAAAGAGCTACTGCGCTGTGTCAAGTACACAATTATAATTGAATTAATGATATGGGCGAGGAGTGAGACACACAGAATTAACATTTGAAGAGGCCTGGCTTAATTTTGTCTTTTACATATTTGTGTCTCCAATTATACTTTAATGAAAGGGAATATACCCCCTTAATGGATTTCTTTCAGTGAGCTTAGCTGAGCTCGTCATTAGCCTGGCATCGTTGTTGGTACCCTCGCTACGCTTGCTCTAATGGGTCTTCATTTCTTCCTTTTAGGTGATGGGTTAGACAACAGTGTCGCCTCACCTGGCACAGGTGACGATGACGATCCAGACAAGGACAAAAAACGCCAGAAGAAAAGAGGCATATTCCCCAAAGTCGCGACAAACATCATGAGAGCGTGGCTCTTCCAGCATCTCACAGTAAGTTCAGATCAAAGACGTTTGAAAGTAACAGAAAGCTGATTTCTCATTTCGCTAAGTTTGAGCAACTGACATGGTCTCTCACACAGGGTTGGTTTTCGCTTGGGTTCGAGTTCTGTCCTTCTGTTTCATTTTTTAAAACAAGGTTGCCTGCTTTCTGTGCCTTGGGATCTGGTGACTCATATAGTCGGCACCATTTTGTCAACCAGTGCCGTCCAAGCAACATCCTCTAGAAAGGAGCAGTGTTATGTCCTCATAGGTCAGCAGTAGCCCTTGTTCAAAAGGGCCCGAGACTCTCAATGGTATATGTAAAGGTTCACTGCACTGCAAGATGTGAGCAACTTCAGACAAAGCAGCTTCAACCAAAGGAGAAAGCCGTGAAGAGCTGAGAGACCTGTTAGCACTGCCGCTTCTCCTGCTAACCAATGCTGTCTCCCCCATGAGCACAACCAGCATCTTGCCACATGCACGTCCAAGCTCATCTCACGGAGGTGGTCTGATAAGATGGTGTGCATTCGTGTGCGTGCATGTGCGTGCGTGTGAGTGTGTGTGTGTGTGTGTGTGAGAGAGAGAGAGAGACAAATGCTGAAGGGTTAGAGGTACTCCAGTGCCTTTGTTTGTCAGGTTGAAATTAAAAGATTCTGTTTTAGCTGTTCAAGTCCATTATCTTAAAAGCTAACCCTTTTCACTTCTGGGAAAAGATTAATATGTGCAATGGCTTTAAAGTAACAATTTATATCCCCATGTTTGCAGTCAGTTTTATGTGTTAGTATATACTATTGACTCTTAAGACCCTCATGACCAAAAGTGGCAACGTGGTTTTTTTTTTTACAGAGGAACTATGCATACTTATATTTTACTATCTGTTTGGAAATTCTTGGAAATTTTCCGAGGATGTGTCTTGTCCTAGTATTGTTCTCGGCCATTCTATCTACACTACAGTTTAATAACAGAGTACGTCGCCCATTGAAAGCTGAAGGTCTTCTTTGGTATATCAGCTTGTGTGTCATCATGCTGAATGACATTAGTCACCGTGTTGTGAGTCCAGGACAAGGTTCCACTCTTATTTATGATGGTGGTTGTTGGTCTGCTCTTCTCACAGAGGGGTCGGAGTGGTGGTGGGGAGGGAGAGGTGATGGATTCACGTTTCTCAATCCGACATTTTGATGTAAGGACATTAGTACCAAACTGAGGTGAATCGATCTGGCCGCTGGTGCCCGGATCAGCTGGGGGTACCAACGAGGCTGTCTTGGTAGTGGTTATTCTTGCCTCGCAGCAATGGCCATTTCAAAGGTCAGGGCCCTACACTGACTTGGCTCAGAGGAATTAGACGGAACATGCGTCTCTGGGCTGATTACTTAACCAAAGACAAAATAATGAGTCCTAAGCAAATACTGACTAATTGAAAGGGCTGTAAATCCATTACATATTGGTCAGGGATAATCAGGAGTATTTAATCACTTTTATCTATTCAGGAGCACTGAAGCTGCAACAGCAAAGCCCTCAACCTTGCCATGTGCTTATTATTCTCATCATTATCAAAATTACTTCACAGCTGTTCTTTGCTACATCACCTCAGCTGGAGACTAGCTAACCTGTAAAATGTTTTTAATTTGGAAGTCGAGGGAGTGTGAGGGGAGGGCCTCCTTGTTTTCACCCTGAGGTTTGGTGGTTTAAGTAGCTGGAGATGCTAGGAAAGGCGGGGGCCTCCTCAACAGGCAAGCTGCTTCATCCTGACCAGCTTAGCTAGCTGCTTTGCTCCCTCTGGATTCCCTTGCAATGATATCTTTCTTGGTTGAAATTAGACATGTCCATGGTTGCTTTGCAACCAAGCATCTTTGTGCATGCATTTTTAGCCTCTGCCGTGAAAACCAATGTCCCAGAACGCTCACACCTTGGAGAATGTGGCTACTTTGAACTCAGACAGAGAAGCAGAATCTAGACGGTGACACCCAGCTGCCTGAGTCACCAGCTCCACGTTCTTTCCACTTGTGAAGGTGACTTTGCACAGGTCTTATCTTTAGCAGCTGCATAGAGACCTCACAATGTCTGCCATTGGTATACTCAAAGTCAAGGTGGTGATGGTGGTGATGGGCTTATGGAGAAGCCAAGGGCTGCCTTCCTTACCTGTCTGGAAAGCCACCAGCTTCCCCAGCCTTTATGACTAGGGAAGGGTCCCTGCTCAATCTCTGGACAAACCTCATGGCGAATCATGAGGAGCTCTCCTTGGATCTCCTGCTTTGACCTGTCATGGATTCATCTTCCACCGTCCACTGCAGCCACCTGCCTATGATTCCTTGGCACTTGCCCGTCAACTGTGTTACAAACTCACTGTCCTTGCCTCATGAGAATGTTTACCTAGTTAAATACACACAGGACTTTGTGCAGAATTTTCTGAACCACTAGCAATTTCACTGACTACTTAGAACAAAAGACTCACATAACCTGAGTGTGGGAATGAAGAGCACTTCATTCCAACCTCCCTTCTCCTCTGGACTGTCTGATGGCCAGTGTAGCCCATTAAGTTCCCTGGATTTTTCTTTGCTCCATTTTTCAAATGAGAGGACAATGTCACAGCATCCATAGGTCTGTTGTGTGTACCTCTCCATTTGCACTCTGCCCAAGGCCTTTAGGCAGAGCAATGTCCCCAGCCCACAGTCATCCTGCCATTTCCTTCCTCTTTTCACTTGTCACCAAGGCTTTCTTTTTCTCCTCTCCATGACCTTCTTTCCCAAATTGCCCTTTTTCGTGGCTTCCTCCCACTGGCTTTGTCTCCCATCTCTCTCTCTCTGTTCCCCTCCAGGCCCTTTCTGCACCCCCCTTGGATCTCAGAGAAATTCTCGCTGGCTTTCATTTTGAAAGTGTTTTCTCTCTCCATCCACACACTTCACCCCCACTGCAGAGAAGAGGCCCAGTAACTTTGATGAGGATGGTCTTGTAAAACTTTTACTTTCCAATCTTTAATGAGCTGAAAGATTTACTCAGCTGTAATTCTGAGCTCAGAAAACAAGAATAGAGGCCCCTAACTAGCGACTTGTTAATTTAGACCTTTTTTCTTACATGTACTAACAGGCACGAGGGAGTCCTTGGAAATAGGGATGCCCTGGTATATTTCTCCGTCATTTAATGAATTTTAACATTCAAAGTGAGATGTCGGCGGGAACTCACTGAAAATAGATGTGGCCTAAATTATTATTTCATGTAAATTTCTTTACATGTGTGGGATTCAATGCACATTCTTCCATTATCAGTCTCTTTAACATTATTTCAAACTGGCCTGTCCCCTTTTGTGTGGTGTGACCTGTTCTTGTAGTACAATAATCCCTGATGTACCCTTTTTTTCTTTCTTTCTTAAGAAAGAAGCTAATTGAATTATCTCATTATTTTAATTTGTTAAGCAAATGTATTTTGCATCTCAGGATGTGTTCTTATAGAAGGGGGCTGCAAAGGCTTTGCCCCCTGAATGGGCCATTGGCCCATTTTGACATTCATGCATTCATTAACTATCAGAACATAAAAGAACTCTGGGTGTATTTTTTTTTCCAAACACCCAACCAGCATGAAGCAACTTTCCCCAATAAGCCACAGGGGTCTCTCTACATATGTTCTCAACTGCAAGCTATTGTCACCTATTCTGAATACCTCAAAAGGCCGAGAGGAGGGAAAAAACCCAACTCAACAAAGGCCAACTGTAGCAATTGTGAAGTCTTAGTCTCAATATGACAAAAATCATTAACCTTCCATTTTCTAGGAAGAACAAATTCCAGTATAATTGTAACAGTTGAAACAGTCTCTTAGAATCCTGTAAACCACAGTTAGGGGAAATGATAATCAATTTGTTGATAATTGATTACTTTGGAGAAAATATTTAAACGAGAACCAACATGGAATTTTCAAAATTGAGCTGTTTGATGAATCTGTTTCCATGCTCAGAGCCAAGCTCTTTGAATTTGTTTAATATGATGTTAAAGAATTGCTCTCTAATTTCTAGCTACCTGTTTTCATGGTGTCTTTTAAAACAGTATCTTCTAGAATGTGCAACTCTTATACAGAAATAAATCCATTTCTTCTTAGAAATTCAGTTTAGCAAAACTGTTGAACACCCATTATCCTCTTCCAATCATGCATGACCCTGTCAGTCTTATTCACCCTAAGAAATGTATAAGAGGTAGAAGAAAAAAATCTGTTGGAAATCCACTTGCATTTGCCAGAAAGTAAACAGGGACCAAAACAAATAAACAAGCCAACAGCAATAGAACTATCTCAGCAAAGTGTATTCTCTTTATTAACACTTGGAGATTATAAAATTATAAAAGCAAGCCTGCCATTACAACTTCTTATTTTACTGCAAAGTTACTTTAAGAAGAAATGGCAAGAAATAAAATCTCTAGGCTGACAGTTTATAACTACATACCAGGCCCTTACTGCTCAAGCCAGCCTGCCATCACCTTCATTTGTCACCTGGGGAGATCTCCCTGAGTTGTGCCAACTGTGGGAGAGAAAGAGAAGGTCCTGGCACCCAAGGTCTTGGCTTGCTTGTGCCAGTTTCTGACGAGGGTCTTCGAATTGGAAAACGCAGTAAAACCCCCACCCACTTAAGAGGTGTGACACTTCCTTCAGAGAGACCCGTACGACCTCAGAAGCAAGCGACAGTATGGTGTGCAGTCTCCTTGACATGGCAAGTTTTGATGCTCTGTCATTGTCGGTGGCAAATGCTGCGTCTCCTCTCTGTTTCTGTGGGTGTGGGGAAGGGGCTGTGATCTGTGACTTGGTGACTCCTTATCTACTGGAAGTTCTTTTATGGGACTAGGTAAAAGTCTAGATTTGATGATAAAAATATGCTTTAATGTATATTGACCTACCAAGACAATGAAGCCTCGTTATGGGTGAATCTGCTTACAGGTTACATTAGAGAAAGGTGTTTTTCCTTCAGTTGATTCATGGAGACCTATTGATAGAAAACAAAGTCATCTGAAATTTCCTGTTGTACTACACCTCCC